CAACCTGACCTGATACCGGTCTTCACCTCGAAAGAGTCTGTTAGCTGTCTATCGTGTACGATTTCGCAGTTGAATCCATCATGAGAATTCCGTGTGATGTTAATTATTTTCTCAGGCACACCGTAGTGTCGAAGAAGCCTCCACAGTGTTTTCCCATCCACGCTATCGAATGCTTTCTCGTAGTCGATGGAGTTGATGTAGAGTGGTGAGTTCCATTCAATTGATTGTTCCACAATGATCCATAATGTAGCAATTTGGTCAGTACACGATCGATCCTTACGAAATCCGGCCTGTTGATCTCGAAGTTGGACGTCTACGAAGTCCTTCATTCTGTTTAACAATACCCTGTTGAAGACTTTGCCTGGTATTGAAAGAAGAGTGATGCTTCTGTAGTTCTCACACTTGCTGAGATCGCCTTTCTTTGGTGTTTTGATCAGGTATGCTTCTTTCCAATCTGATGGTACTTGTTCCTCATCCCAAATCTTCTTGAAGAGGATGTGAAATATTTTTGCAGTTGCTTCTACATCTGCTTTCATTGCCTCTGCTGGAGTGTTGTCTGGTCCTACTGCTTTGCCGTTCTTTATTTGTCTGATGGCCATACTGATCTCCTCAATTGTATGTGCGCCAATATTAATTGGGAGGTCCGTGGATGCTGCGTCGATGTTGGGTGTGTTCAGTGGAGCTGGTCGATTCAGTAGTTCCTTAAAGTGCTCTACCCACCTATTTCGCTGTTGTTCAGTGTTGCTGATTACTTTGCCTTCCTTGCTTTTCACTGGTCGTTCTGGTTTACGATAGTTTCCGGCGAGCTTCTTTGTTGTTTCATACAGTTGTCTCAAGTTTGCTTCTCTTGCAGCCTTTTCCGCCGTCATTGCTAGATCTTCCACAAAAAGTCGCGACAAAGGCATGATAAATATTGGTCAGTCATATCTCCTACTTTTCATTCAATACCATTCACTACCATTTTTAGTGCTACGAATGAGCATACGGTAATGGAAAGGGTTATGCTCATGCAATGTTGAAATGAGGATGCCTATATCTAACATCAACCGATAATGCATTGAAGGCTTTTTCTTACTAAATATTTGATTAGTTTTAGTCAAAGACAGTATGATGCCTTTTCTCTTTAAATTACTTCATTCGGTTAATATGAAAGATTATTGTTTATCAATGAAATATTCAGATCAACAGTCAGGAAGTTGCATTGACGAAGTGAGAGAAAATTTCCGATGGATTTTTGAACGACCTGTTGAATATTTGAGTATCAATGAGGAAACAGGAAAGAAAGTGAGTTGAATATTTGATAAAACAGTGCTTAAAATTTAAGATTATGTTGAAGCAGTACACTGAGCTGTGATTTACACTACACTATTGAAAGCATCTATGGTACAGCTTTCAAGCAGAATTTCATTCGATTTATAAAACGAAAGGATGATAAAAGGTGAAGCATTGAAATTCTACTTTTTCAACATATGCACTACCTACAATTAATTCAGTAATATGTTGATTTCTGGCAAACAATCGAAATGTATTCTGTCTTCGTTTTATTCATTTTATGATGATGATGTTGATGATGAATATGAAGATTTGTGTAATAATATTCAAATTACTATTGGTGAATTATGTCATTTTAACAGTGTCTCTTTGTCCAATTTCTTTGTTTATGTTGAATAGGTTGCTAAAATGACTAGTGAATTGAAGCAAACATTGAGTCAATCACTGTCATCGAAATCATGGCCGAGTAAAGCGGACAGAAGTAGAGCACTTGAATCGGTTTGTCTAATTTTGTTAAATTATATAAGCATTAACCTGATGCATTATTTAGGTTATGAACATTCAGTTTACTTCGGAAAAATTAAATAAGTTCCATGTGTTTATCGAATATGAGTTACCAATTGAAGTAAGTTTCATAAGCATTTATTAATTGACAACCTAAAGATGTGTGTGAATTTGATAACGAATTGATTCAGATTGTAAAGATATCGAAATTTAGGTATCAAGTCAATCGGTTCATGGTATGACTGTGAATGGTATGTCTGGTATGTCTGTGAATTATGAATAACAAATTTATATGTATGCATTCAAGTGTTGCCTGATTAAGTTTATTTGACGATAGATTCAGTAAAACGATGTGAACGAGTCAGCCATTTCGAATTCATGATTTGATACAATGGACTAGAGAATAATTATAAAAGATTAGATGTCTAAATAATTGTAAGGAATGTGATGATTGAAAAGCTTATACGAGACTGGATCAAATAGCACTCCGTCAAGTGGGGATTGCCAAACGAAAACTAATGCTACTACTACTAACAATAGTGATAAGCATAGTTATAAATATCATCAATTTAGCAAATTAGTCAGAAATTGACTGCGATATCTTACTGAATGCACTTCTGACACTGTGATGATTAGCAAAAGTAAGTATTTCTGTCAGTTCATTTATTCACATCGGGATTACAGCCGACTGACTGCCTCATGTGTGGTAATGAAAATGAATAGATGCGAACATTTAAATGATAAAGTGTCTAACTATTCATTTCATCGAACCTATTTTTAATTATGAAAATATTTTATCAAATCATTTCATTCCGTTTCCAGAATGAATTGTCTAAGGACAACTACTTAATGAATGTTTACCATTCTCATAAGGCCAACTACATTCAATCAATGCGCAAACTCGCATTGATAAGCGACTAGTAAGTTGTTTGTTTTGTGTTTGTTCGGAATTTCTCCATTAATCTTGAACAAAGAACCTTGTATTAATAGAACAAATACGGCTACCCGTAAAATCCAAAACGTTAATTTTAAAACTAGAATTAAACTGAATTACATAATTCATCTTATTTTGTGTTCTATCATGGTGTTCTATTCTCATTTAAGAAGAAGGTTTCATGAAATTAAAAACAGAAGCGTTGATTTTTGGGCTGTCACCAATGCTTTATAAAACATTATTTATAGAACTCACTGAAATGAATAGTAGTGTATAGCGTCACGGTTAGTGCTGATCATGAGTTGTCATTCAGTTAATGATGATGAGATTGATAACAAAATGTTGAACCAACTTCTGCGTTATGTAATTCAAATATTCTCTGATTGTTAACCTTATGTAAAGGTTTTCAAATCGATCTAGTGATATGTGCAACATAGTCAGTGAATGGACTCACATCAAAATTATTCAGATGAGGCACTTTTCCTTGTCACTGGTTGTTTAAAACGGGAATAAACATTAACTGTACTACGTCCATTAATGTTTGTTCTCTATTTACCGATATTTTCTTCAGTGGTGTATTAAAGATGTCTGGACCTGTGAGGTACCCTGAGATTTATTTGGTTGCTGCGTTATACCACCCATCATTTCTCAATGCATCATATTCAGTATCTGAAGAATATGGAATTCTCGGTCGGCCTATTGGTCGTCAACTAATGTCTAACGGTAGCGTTTATGGTATTTTATCCTGCTTAATCTTATTATTAACAAAACTGAGTATTCTGAATAAATTACGGACAGTCGAGATATTCTTATCTGGTTTCGGTTAACGCATAACTAATAAAATCGTGTTGATTGTGTGTATATGAGGCGTTTCCGTTTAGCTACCAAATCTATCTAAACTGAAACATGTGTTACTTTATAGAATATAGTCGATAGTGATTTAAATGCTAATATCAGTGTTATTTTCCTAGACAGTAGGAGTGCAAATTTGTCATTGTCGTGTAGTTGTGTGAAGATCAACTTTGGTCGATCAATCGAATATTAGGCCGTTTGAATTTTACGTATTTCGTGTCATAAACATTCAAGTAAAATTGGATTAGTGTAGATCAAAGTGCGAATTGAAAATGCTTATTCTGATCAGTTTACCAATCGATGCTGAAAAACCCTAATTGAATGTGTTGAATGAAATGCAAACATAATTAATATGGTTTCGTAGATTAATACAGTCTAACTTGTACAGCTTCAAAGCAATGGTTCTGTTTGTTTTACACTATTGTAAACTGTGGAAAATGAATCAACAAGTGTGATATTAATGAGTGGGTGGAGCTTTGAAAACTAACTGATAAGCAAAAATCCTCCTCACTTAACTTTGGACTAATAAGTACGAACACATGTTGTGCAATTGTAACCTGTAGAGCAATTATGAATTAGAACACTCACTTTATGTTTATTTCTGAAAAGTAATTATTGGCTTAACGGCGTTTGCATTACAGTTTTTAGTGGTGGTCAGTTAGATGAACAGGAAGATGATCAGTTAACATGTGAGCCAGGAAATCCATCATCGATTGAAAATCAAATGTGCTGTTTATCAAGACGATATGGCATTCCAAATACTGCAAAGCAAGTAAGTGATCTGTTAAGAGGACGGTTTGTCCTTGCATAGTTTGATTATTTCACATTTTTCAGTATTACAATTGTGAAACTTGTTCTTAACGTGTTAATGTTGAAATGACAGGTGGATATATCAGATAATATTCATTCAAAGAATAATATATGTTATGTAAATGAGACAACGTTTGTCATCTGGACATGGTTTGTGAATAGGAGATATGTAGTTGTTGACCAATCCAGGGAATTTGTCAACGTCGCTGTTGAACATTGGTGTGAATAACATACAAGAAATTTCTAGATAGATACAAAACATGAAATGTTATTCAATCAATGCGTGAATTCGGTTGAAACTCAGTTGTGAGTGAAGGCAGCTGACAGTGTTCCAGGTCTGTTTTCCACAGTTGTTCTTGCGTATTCTGATAATATTATTAACACTGGAAACGTCAAGCTAACGTCACAAAGTTTGATACTTAAATAAAGCGTACTGCACAAAATAACATTTGTGATATCAGTGTTCATTTTTCGAAATGTGCATTTCAAAACAGACCGATTCAACCGATTTATATCACGTTTCAAACGGCACAACATAATATATGGTTTAACTTAAATTGCTTGATATATTTTCACAAATATTAATTGAATATTTTATGTTGTCTCAATATTTTTCACATTAAACAGGTTTTGCAACAACTGGCAGCTGATATCAATGGTCTTATGTTATCGTTTTCAGTAAGTGAATGTTAGCAAAGGCTATTTACATTTTATTGTCTAATTTAATCAAAATCATCAAGTCAAACGAAGGTAGCAACACTTGTTGAGTGATGGACAGTTTTTATTCGTACATACGCAAGACATACGCAGTTGACTAGTAATTTCAATGGAATCTTCCACTGAATATTTGACTAGATTTTGAGTTCTAGAACAATGCAATGCACATTGTATTGTGGTTGTTTTATGTTCAATGAAAGATTGATGTCATGTGACCACCAGATATAATTCAATATATCTGCTGCCTGTAATAATCATAATATGAATAAAACTCATGTATACTGAGATGGTGGAGAAGATTTGTAGCTCAGTTGGATGATTGTGGTGGTGGTGGTGGTGTTTGGTTCTCTGAGCTGGATGTTTTGCTTGTGGAGCTTTCATTGTTCTTGTGAAAAACATCATCAGCACAAACTTCAGATAGAAGTGAAGCATTCGAATTTCTTCACAACTGACCTGTAGCTTGTTCTGCTAACTTCGATCTTGATCGGTTGCTGTTGACCTTCAACCTGTCGTTGTTCGCATCTTTGTTTTGATTATATCCCCATTTTGATCTGTTTCTTGATCCTATGTCGCCTATGATTTTCCTGATTGGTTGATAAATTGGGTCAATGTCGATGTGTTTGTTGATTGCTGATTGACCTGATTGACCAAGCTTCTGAAAATTCCCTAGTGTTCTTTGTCCAGCTCAGAGAACCAAACTCCACCACAATATATATATATATATATATATATATATATATATATATATATATATATATATATATATTCGTATGTTTTTCGAACAGCAGAACCTTTCGTACTTCATCAACAGAACATTCTTATTGCTTACATAATGGTTTCAATGTATTATGTATTGCATAACAATATTTCGATGAGGGCTTATTCAAGATTAGGGAATGTTTTAGAACAGCTATTTAGATGAAGTATTCTTTACTGTTCGTTGCTTGATCTATTTTGTAGGCATACAAGAAAGATATCATGAGGAATTCTGATGATAGTTTGGATGAACAGAAATCGTTTTTTGAAGCAATCGCTAGAGTAAGTAATGCACACAGAATGAATTTCATTTGAACAAAACTCTCTCCGAGTTCATTCATGTGATAAAATACAGTGGATTATAATCAATAATGATCAGTTGACTACTTACTTACTTACTTATTTACTTATTTACGCCTGTTGCCTGCCAGTACAGCATAGGCCGCCGAACAGTTTTCTCAGACCAACTCTGTCCTGAGCTTCCATTTCCAGTTCTGTCCAATTTTGTTGTCATTCTTTTCATATCTTTCTCTGTTTCTCGGCGTAATGTGTTCTTTGACCTTCCTCCTTTCTTTATAACTTGACGGTTCCAGGTGAGGGCTTGTCTTGTGACGCGGTTAGGCGCTTTTCTTCGTGTTTGGCCTATCTGCTTCTACCTCCTCTTCCTAAATTCATCCTACGTTGGAATCTGGTTTGTTCTCTCCTCCACAATAGGTTCTTTCTGATGGTGTCTGGCCAACGGATACTGAGTATTTTGAGTCCACAACTGTTGATAAACACTTGGACTGTTGCAGTTGATGTCAACTGTAATCAGAAAGAGCGTGTAAACACAGAGAAGACAGTTGTCAGCTTGAAAAACGAACGGAGAAAATGGTAGGACGGAAAATCACCGTTTACCATTTGCAGCAAATCCATCATTAATAAAACATCATTGTTGTTATCATCATTAACGAGTACACTGTAAATTATCATTTCTATTTGTAATTACACAGTATTAAGAATTAGTTAACCGAAAGAAGTATCCTTAACTGAAGAACCAACTTCTTGCATCATACATGACCTTGAAATAATTCAAACATTTGAATTACAAGTAGCTACAAGTTAGACATTTGTATATTGAATTCCGATGTCATAGTGAATGGAATTGTTATTGGTCTGTAAAATATTACCACCTGAAATTTGCGGTGAAAAGCCGATTTCAACTTTAGGATGGTGAACAGTTTTTGCTATCAATAGGCAGATATACTTAGAATTTCAAGTTCTTCATACATAGCATGTTAGCTCATCAACATATTAAATGCAACATCATGGAGAACTCAATGTGGTTTAGTTAATTTATAGTCTGGTTTTGTGAATTGTATAACATTTGAGTAGTTATTTGACATGTGTGTCTTCATTCTACTTATCATCAATCTTAATATGTAAATCAATGTGGTATGAGGCAGCCTTTCTCGATTTTATCGTCACTACACACAGTTCAGTCTCTACAAACAAGTGAAAATTCATTGTTTAATTTTACCGAAATATTGTTTTTATGCATCAGTTGAATTTTCATGATTCTCTTCAATTTTGTCTATTCTTTTTATAACTGAAGACAACGTGTGATGGCTACTCTCATGATCTCATTATGTACAAGTCATTTTCACGAAATGAAAGATATAAATTCAGGTAGTCCCTTTTGTAAATCTATTAGTTTATTTAAAAATGTAATCATGTCTTTCGTTCGAAATACGGATGACCAACTGTCGACTGAGAAATACTGATCACCACTAGCATACATAATATCTTTTCATGTTTACAATGTAGTAAGGTCAATACGACAAATATCCACTATCGGTAACCATAGAGAAAAGAGTGTACTTGTAGTTGTGAGCATCGATCAATACACATCAACATGTTTAGTTTACAATCATTGACGTTAACTCTGTTGCAGTGAGCATTCTTGTAGTATGATTGTGGATGAAATATTACACCAGTGCATCATTTTGCCTCATTATGGATTATTCATTTTTCAGTTTAATTTTCCTTTGTTTTCAGTTTGAATGAAATTCTGAAACATAGTGAGGAATTTTCGAAAACATATCAATGTCCTCGTGGTTCGGAAATGAATCCTGTGGATAAATGTATTCTTTGAAGAAACACAGCGACCATCGATGCGTGTCTGTGTGTGTGTTTGTATGTTTGTCTGACAACATTTATTTATACATGTCCATGATTTTGTAAACTGTAACTGTTGTAGTGTAGTTCTGCACTTATTTTCTAACAATAAACATTTCTAATGTGACCAGTGGAGTTGAGTATTTTTTTTATTGTTACATTCGGATGGATTGATTCAAACAAGTCAGCTGATTGTATGACAATATCTTCCATCCAGTTGAAAAAGTAATTTGAAATAATCCTCCTCTCATAATGAAATAACTGTGAATTCAATAACTCATAGTCGGCTTATTGTGCAGGAGTTTTATTCTCTCTGAGCTGGATGTTTTGGTTGTTGAGCTTTCATTGTTCTCTTCTGAAGACAACATCATCAGCACAAATCGCAGGTAGAAGAAGTGAAGTATTCGAGTTTCTCCAGGTGTGACTTGTAACTTGTCATGTTGACCTGGATCTTGATTAGTTGTAAGTGATCTTAAATCTGTCGTTGTCTGCACGTTTATTCTGATTGCAATCTCCTTTCATGTGTTTCTTTATCTTATATTTGCCCATGAGGTTTGAGCGCCAATCATCCGAAAATAGCTGACATAAAATTACACTGTTCTAACACTGATAAGCTGCTAAAGCACTGCCAAATAGGAAAAGACAAGCGAAAGATAGTAGGACAAACCTGTATACTTGTTGATTCCATTCACTATAAGACATACATGAATGAGTGGACAAGCATACAGTTCCAGATGCACAATTAACAAACAATATGAGACTTGCGAAAAACAATTATTTGCAGTGACATTTAGAACTTAGTGCTCACAGTTTAACTATAATATTTTGATGATGATTTCTAGTTACACGATTGCTTAGCTCTATTTATTCTACCACTTATTTGATCGAAAACACACTAGTTGATGTAGTTGTCTCGGCTAATAGTAGCAATAATTCTCAATAATCGGTCACTCACTTAACATACTAAATGGATGACGTGGTATAAATTTACAAGTGACCAATTGCCCATCAAGAAAAGCGTAACAAGAAAAGCAGTTTCTCGATTATAGTAATTATTGCATTCGTGATTGCAATGTAGAAAAGAACCAAGAATATGACTAGGGAAATGAACAAATCAGTACAGTTACAATAATAAGTAATATATGCATTCATGATGAATGGAAATTTGAGTTGATTCATCTTTATCACGTCCATTGATTTCTAGATATAATAACTTGGGTTTATAATCCTTTATCAGGATTATCACACCAGACCTAGTTGAACGATTCCAGCAAATAGTGACATAATCTCACTCACTGATACCTACACACTGATTTCAATGATGACTGAAAGCAAATGCACGATGTCTATGGATCTCAAAATAATCATTTCACTGCAGACGAGTTATCGAATCAGATCAGTGCTAAGGCGAATTCATGTATTTCAACAAAGCAAACGCAGCCAACACTGCATCACACTGTGATTCGAATGGTTCAGTGTTTGTGCATCGCGCTTGTTTTTCTAGCAAAAATAACAGTATCGAATGTGTAGTTTATGTGCAACGATGTTGAGGCCGGTTTGTAGCTGCAACATTAACATGGTGGTCAGACGTACCTGTCGTGATGAATCAACTGAGCAATGTTTTCTGAAACATATTTTTTCTTTAGGTCATGCTATGTCAGACTGGTTGATTGGAGAACGCTAATAGTAAAGGCATCATATTCAGTGACGTTGCCCGCCTTCTCACAACAGTAGCGAGAATTTAGAAGAGGTTTATACGTAGATGTGTGTATACATATACATGCAGATGTTGAAAGCTGAACAAATCACCCACGATTTTCATAATACGGTGATCACGTTCAAAATTAATCATTGAAAACATTAAGTAATAAAATAACTAGTCAATAAATAAAATAAATTCACTGATGTAACCATTATTTTCAAATGTTGATCAATTTCATTGTGTTTGAAGTAAGTTTCATTCTCCCAACTAAATGGTTTAATTGTGAGGCACTTATTTGGGAGTCAGCTCAATGTACCTGAGCATATAATTGGTCAAGAAACAGATTTCATTTTTTAAGCGTGAGGTAACGTATGTTTTGCGAAAATGAGTTCTTATGTACATGGTTTTATAGCCGAATAGACGTCCACCCCTGTTCTCGCCTTCTCGATCAAGTAGTCAGTTTGGGATGTGGCCGTCAAATGCATCTCATTCAGATCTGGCACACTACACATCACAACAATTCTAACTTTCAAACAGTAGAAAATGGAATAAATTTGACGCTCTTTTAGATCAAGAAACAATAAATTTTATAACTGCTTTCGTAGTTTAATTCTATTTCATACAATTAAATTATTTATCCTGTAACTCCAGTGAAAAGGATGACTAACCACTGTCATGACGTTAAACCTGCAATCAAGCAATCAAATATTGCTGATATGCCATTGAAGATTGGACAGAGTGAATACAATCGTGGTGTCTGATAGTAAGTGAGTGGAGATTCAAGTGTCGATAACCAATTGTAGATAAATTTTTCGTTTGAGCAGGATTTCCACTCACATTCTTCCATCTGGTCTCCTTTACACACAAGTATGGAAGAGGTGTAAAAACTACACATTCTAATTTCTTCACTCAGTCAATATTCTCTAACATACCATGAAATCGACAGAGTATAGCTGATACTATCTAACAAAACTATCAACAATACTGAGGCCTCTAGTTATAAAATTTAACTTCATGCATTAGAATATCGCACACAATTCAAAATGAATCACTCACCCTTTTGTTTAACTTTCAAACTCATCAATCAGATATTCAAATTCTGTCTCCACTTTTTTCTCATGAATGTGTGAATGTTTGTATTGTCAGCATCGTCTTCATTGATTCCAAATAAACAACGTTCTTTCAACGATAAAATGGAGTTATCAGTCTGAATCTCCTGTAAATTACTTCGAAATATATCATAACTGTTGAAAGAAACCTGAAAAATAGTAACAATAATAAATTTCAATTTCGTCATTCAGCGTACATTTATAAAGCACATCTCTTATTTTGGAACAAAGGATTATCTACTTGCTTAGGTTCAAATATATTTATGAGGTTTAGGAGTTTTCACGATGGACTCAAGATATTAACTTGATGGCAA